GGGGCGCGGGATGGCGGCACGGTGAGAGGAGCGGGGCAGGAGCGATGGCGGGGGCGATGGCCGCGGCGCTGCTGCTGTGCTCCGCCCTGCTGTGCGCGGCGCTGGGCTGCGCGGGCGCGGCGCTGATCCCCCCCGCTCCCGACGTGAAGGTGGAGGTGCTGCACAAGCCTTTCCTCTGCCACAGAAAGACCAAGTGGGGGGACATGATGCTGGTTCACTACGAGGGCTACTTGGAGAGGGATGGCTCCATGTTTCACTCGACGTAAGTGAGCGGCGCGTCTTCTCCGAGCCAGCTGCTGGCTGAGCTTGCGCGGGGAGATACACATACATACATACGTACATACATATATATATATAATAGAATCATGGAATGGCTTGAGCTAGAAGTGATCCTAAAGATTCCTTGGCCCTTCCACTAGATGGAGTTGCTCAGAGCAGCCCCATCCGACGCAGCTTTGAACGCTGCCCAGGTTGCTCAGAGCCCCATCCAGCCCGGCCTTGAACATCTCCAGGAATGGGTGGTCAGCAGCTTCCCTGGGCAGCCTGTTCCAGTGGCTTACCACCCTCACAGTAAAGAATTTATATCTAATCTGAGCCTCAGTTTAAAGCCATCACCCCTTGTCCTGTCGCTGCACGCCCTTTTAAATTGTCTCTCTCCATCTTTCTTGTAGGCTCCCTTGAGGTGCTGGAAAGGTAAAATTAAGTCACCCTGCAGCTTTCTCTTTACCAGGCTGAACAATCCCAGTTCTCTCAGCCTTTCATTGTAGGAGAGGTGCTGCTCCATCCCTCTAGAAATCTTGGTGCACCTTTTCTGGACTCGCTCCGTTATGTGTGTGTATATTTTAAGGTATATCTATTATTTATAGATGGTCTCTTCTGGTCGTGCTTTCCTGAATCCTGACCTCTCACAGGTGCCTGCAAATAGCTCTATGAAGAGCATTTTGTAAGGGGCAAGCGGTTTTTTGTTTAGTTTTTTGACTCCTCCCTCCCCAAATGCCCAAGACTAGCATTTACTTATGTGCAAGGAAACAAATGCAATGCATGAATGACTTAATTGTTTTGGGATAAAAGAGCTTAAATAACACTGCATAAAATTGTCTCTGGGGCCCCTCCCACTGCCACCTGTTTTCAGAAACTTTGGTGTGAAGCTGTATCGCGCAATGCTGTTCAAGATGAACACCAAGAGTAAGGCTAATCTCCTTTCCCGAAGTTATAAAATAAATCTTACTTAGCATTTGTTTTCTGGTCAGTCTGTAGGAAGTAGAACCATATGGCATTTCTTAAAAGATGGGGATGTTATGCATGGAGGACCTCTCCTGTGTGGAAAGGCTGAGAAAACTGACACTGATTAGCCTGGAAAACAGAAGGCTTTGAGGTGACCTAATTGTGGCTTTCCACTACCTGAAGAGAGATGGAGAGAGACTTTTTGCAAGGGCATGTAGTGACAGAACAAGGGGGAATGGCTTCAACTTAAAGAGTTTATTTTAGGTTATTAGAAAGAAATTTTTTACTCGGAGGATGGTGAGACACTGGAACAGGTTGCCCTGAGAAGTTGTTGACAACCCATTCCTGGAGGTGTTCAAGGCCAGCTTGGATGGGGCTCTGAGAACCCGTTCTAGTCTGTGTCCCAGCCCATGGCACAGAGGGGTTGGAACTGGGTGATCTTAAAGGTCTCTTTTAATCCAAACCATTCTATGATTCTGTGATTTAGGTGCAGGTTTTGGTATATGATCTCAGCGGTTTAGTAGGTCTTGTGCTACGCATGAATTTCTGTTTGGTTTCTAAAGCAAAGTATTAATTTAAAAAATAAAAAAGTTTTATGTATCCTTCCACTAGTGGCACCACAATCACAGCTTTTCACTATTCTTTACCTGCCCCCGACCAGACAAGTCAACATACCAGAGCCACAGAAATGCAAATAGGAGGAAGAGCCAGAAATTCGAGGGACTCTGCTAAGAGCCTGCAATGACTTGCTAATGCTAAATGTCCTGTAAAACATCAATGAAGTGTTAATAGTGGGAGATAGCAAAATACTCAAGTCTCTGCAGGCTGCCTGAAGGCTACTTTTGTATATTAAGCAAAAAAGACAGTTTTGCATGTTTATGCTTTTACAGACGATTCAACTAAAATCTCACTAATTTTCTCTTGTAGTTAACCTGACTCTTTAAAAGGACTTCTAGTGACACACTAAAGTTTTTGTTGCTGACTAACTTCTGTAAGTGTTCTGTTTTCTTCTTAAACACCTTTTCTGCATGACTAGTAAATAGAACTTTCAAATTCCTTGTCTGTTAGTAGAGTGAAAGTGGTTAAATCAGAAAAGGATCTTGTCTCCCAAAACTAAATTTCAATGTTTTGCATGCATTTGTTTTTTTCTAGACTGTTATGTAGTTGTTTTGTTATTTGCTTTTTTTTCCCCCCAGTGGCTTCTTGAAAGAGATGAGGCTGATTCTTCTAAGCATGTTAAAATGTGTATTGCTATCATGACCATGCTGGTCTGTGATTTGCAATTTACAATGGCCTTGACTGTAGATTTTTAAGAAAAATGCCCTTCTAGTCTGATCAATTTCCAAGTGGAAGTAGGTGATGAGGGAGGTGAAGGTGGAGATCTGGATTGGTTAGTGTTGTCATAAACACACCAGATAAATGTTGGTCTATTTCTTTCCACTTCCCAAGGAACCTTGTCATGCAAAGCATAAATTTTAAAGACCTTGAAAGTGCTCATTTGTCAAGGTGCTGAATAGTGCTGTGTTTTTAACTGTATATCTACATTATGAGCATCTTCTATTTGCCTTTTGTGGAACTTGAGGTTTAAATACCAAGTGTTTTATTCCTTTCTTTTCCAGTCACAAGCATAACAATGGTCAGCCTATGTGGTTTACACTTGGCATAAGGGAAGCTCTCAAAGGCTGGGACAGAGGGTTGAAGGACATGTGTGTGGGAGAGAAACGGAAGCTAACTATTCCACCAGCCCTTGCTTATGGAAAAGAAGGGAAAGGTAAAAAAAACATACCCTTGCTCTAATTGTTTCTAATCTCTGTATTTTACTGTTATTCATGGCCTGAGAAGTTAGCAAGCTTTCAAGCTTTCCAGGTTGATTCTGTTAAAGTGAGAGTCAGATGCTCTTTCTCATAAATTTGTTTCCTGCAGTAATATCCACTAAGTGGTTATGTGGTGAATGCAGGAAAAAAACCCACAAACTGATGGTAGCTGCTGTGCTGTATGTTCTAAATGTCTTCTGTTAGTGCTGTGTTCAACGGTGCCCTTGTTGGTTTTTTTACTCTTTTATTAGTTTGGGTTTTTTTCTCCCTTTTACAGTCAAGTGGAGGTGGTTGCTTAGGTAACAGTTGGCTTTTTGGCTGTTGGATCTGTTTTTGTGGTAATACTTCATGAGTGTACATGTGCAAGCCTCATTCTTGCTTTCAGGTTTCTTTTAGAACCCTAAGAAACTCCCTGTGATGGGGCTTTTCCTTTCAAATATTTCCAGATTCCTTTAACAGGAGGGCTAGATTTGGAGTATGCAGTTAAGCAAGTGACAGCTTGAATGGTTATATTTCTGCTTTATGGGATTTGTTTAAGTTGACTTCCTTTTGAGCAATTATTATGAATATTTATGTCATGACAAGAGTTGCAACAGATGACTTGCAGTAGTACAAGGTTCCAAAGCAGAAAGGATAAATGTCTAGGAATGTACAGTCCATCCTGCTGATGTTCTCTTCCATTACTATGAGACTGTTTTGGGAATGAGGACTGTTTGCATGTCTGTGTCTTCTGGTAAGTAAGGCTGCACACAGGCTTAGCACTCCATATTACCTCATGCCAGGTAGTATTCATACCTACAGCATACTTCATACCCTCCTTTATTAAATGTACCCGTTTAACACATATTTTTCTAGAAGCTCTGGTTTAGGTTCAAGGGTGCAAGATACAGTATTAGAAGTAATCATGTTTCTAGTAGAGAACAGGAACCTCATTTAGTCATCATTTAGTTGTCTTTATGGTGGGCTCAGCTGTAAAATTTTCCACAAAAATATAAGAAATGCTGCAGTGCTCATGTAGTCATCACAGGCCTAATTGTTTGATTGATATGTAAAGCACTATAGTTGTTCTTCAAAGACTTGCAAGCCTCACTTCTGTTTTTAGTGCAAGAAGGTTAAACAGCTAAACACTGTTAACTGCTGTAAGAAATTACTTGCTTTAGGAGATTTTGAAGTATTTGAGTATAATTATGTTGCTGTTTTCAAGTGATGCCCTTGAAGACAGAATTTTTTCATTTTCTTCATGCTTTCTTCCAAATGCACATTTTTTTCACTAGCCTCCTACCTTGGTGCTGTCTGACTCATCATTTGAGTCAGATGCCTTTTTCTGTAACACTCAAAAAAATCACCTGTGTTCCAAACTCTAAACAGGGCACTGTGCCATGTATTTCCAGAGAATTCTGCACGTTTATTCATCCCAGGAATCTACAAGTCTATTTGTTGCTGCAGCAGGGTGTATTTAACACCATTATTCCAAAGTGGTAGATGTGGGTTTTTTTACCCTGTCTTCTCAAGGCACAGAAATTTTTTTGGGGGTGCTGCCATCCAACATAGAGATATATTTGGTGCAATTAGAACATCTCTCTATATAAAGGAGCAAAGTGTGTGCTAAAAGGTCTTTGACAGTAGCTTCAGCCATCAGCATGAGGGCATATCACAGCTCTGTAAAAGGCAGTGCCTGATAAACTGAAATCCTTGAGGTGTGATGGCATGGGGAAGTACTCTGTGGCACTATTTGGAAATTACCGGTCTGTTCACCTACATCAAAAATGCTGTTGTGATAACACATGCCTTGTGAACAGGTTTAGGTACTTAGTTTCTGCTGTGAATTTGGAAATAGCTGGGTGCTTTGTTCCCTGAGCCCAGAGTCTGCTGTGGGAGACCAACATCATCCCAGCCTTTCTGTCTTTCTCTGCAAAAGAGATTTTCTCAGTGGCAGAACAGGAGATACAAGGTATCAGCTGGCAGTAGAGAGGAATTTGGGGAGTGATGGGGTATCTGGCAGACTAAATTCTCTCTTCCTGCTGCCCATCAGACCTGGCTGTAGGCTGTCTGACTGTACAGTCTCCTTTAGTGTTTTCCAGTTTATCTGGCTCTGACCATGAAAGAAAAAAGGTTCAAGAACATTGTTTGATAAACTTGGGATGGTAATTGCTGAATAAGAGCTTGCATCAACACTACTAATCTCCAACAAAAGTAGTTGCATCTAAACTTACATTTGTGCTGTAAGGGCTGCTCAGAGTCCAGGCTACAGGCTGAAATGATGTTGTGGTAATCACTGTTACAGATACCCATCCTTATCAGTGCAAACTGCAGGCTGCTTTGAAATGACTAGGCTTGCTGGAACATTCTTCTGATGCATATGGCTTTTGTATGGCATTGAATATATAGTTGGTTTTAACTTTTTTCCATTTTGGGCAGGAAAAATTCCACCTGAGAGCACACTGATTTTCAACATTGACCTTCTAGAAATTAGAAATGGACCAAGGTCTCATGAGTCATTCCAAGAGATGGATCTTAATGATGACTGGAAACTATCCAAGCAAGAGGTGAGTGGGTTATCCTTCTCTTGTGAGCAAATTTAACAGGATGGGAGAGTGGAAAAGAATGAACATCTATGCTGCACTGCTCTGAGCCTTGCATCCTAGTGAAAATTCTGGACTGGAGGTTCAAAAGGAGCCTTGGTAAGCTGAGGATAAGCATGTGATTTGTGGAAGACTTGGATAAAGCATCACAGAAATAATACCAGACTTCAGGGCTTTTTGGATTTAATTGCTGATTTATTAATAAACTGGGATTTCTTCTGCTGTAGGGCAATCCTATTTCATAGCATTCACTCTGTGAAGGGCATTTATTCAGCATTATTCACCATCTGTGTGCCTCTCATTTTCAAAATTCTGCTTTTTCAGCTAAAGTGATCCACGAGAAGCTAGTATAAACCACTGAGTTATTTTTGATTTGGGTCTGGTACAGTTTACTGGACTCAGAAGGCTAATTAACCATTTGTATTATGCATCAGACAGTATCAGTGTGTGTAATGTCTGCATATTAGGAATGTAAGCTATAAGTTTAACAAATCCCAGGGACTGAAGTAACTAAAGCAGACCTGAAACAAGGCCCATGGTTCTTATACAAGTGGTATCTGTTTAATAGATATGTTGGTATTGTTATTTTTTAGAAGGCTCTGTGGTTCAGAATACTTGGGATCTTCATATTTAAACCTTAAAAACTTACTAAAACCATTCTGATGTTGTTGAAAACACTGCTTACCATTAGTATCTAGGTTAATGTCGTTAAGTGTTCCAGTGATCTGTTTAAAACCTGTCTTGGGTCTTTGTTCTTAAAATTTTTGAGGTATCTAGAAATCTTTTAATGTATTTCCCATTGAAGCAGCAAAGACTGAGATTGTGTACAGATTCCTGTATATCTCTGGGGTGGCTGTTTACATGTAGTGAGTTGGCAGGGTGCTAGAATGAGGAAAAGCTGTCTCTGACCAATTGGTAGCTAATAACTTCTGACTAGCTATTTGTACTTTACTGTATAGACATAGAAGACAGGCTGTCCTGACTCATTTTTTGAGTCAGGTACCATAAAGGTTTTGCAACAGCTTTGCTAGTTTTACTGTCACTTCTATCACTAAAGACCCTTCACTCAGAGGGACTGCAGAATCAGTTAGACAAGTATTATTCTGGCAGTGGCAAAGGAGGGGAGGTATCTATTATCTAATACCACCATCCTGAGTGCTACATCCCTCTGTTACGCTGCAGTAATCAATTATTTCATAAGTCTGAAAATGTTCACTCTCACCTTTTGTCTAACAGGTGAAAATTTACTTGAAGAAAGAATTTGAAAAGCATGGAGCAGTGGTAAATGACACCCAGCATGATGCTTTGGTTGAAGACATATTTGATAAAGAGGATGAAGACAGTGACGGGTTTATATCTGCAAGGGAATTCACATACAAGCACGATGAGCTGTAGAAAGTAAAGGGTGGAATAATTTTTTTTGATACAAATAGCAGTAACTTAGACTGTCTGGGTCTTGTGTCATCTTAATTCTGTGTTTCGGAATTGACAATTGCTGTTGGCAAAGAAACACTTGGTTTATATAAAAGAGAATTTCTATTCATTATGTACAAAAGTTTTAAACTATTTTAAAATGTGAAAATGTACCTCCTCTTATACAATGAAGTACATCAGTGTTTTTAAAATTTTGTATTAAATTATTTTTCAGAAATGAAACAAACTTTCCAGGTTATTATTCATTTTGAAAATCAAAATCCCGTTCAGTGACTTTCTGTGATTTGTTTGTCTGCCAAGATCACTTTCAGCAGCTACCTTATGTATTACTTGTAGTCTGTGCCTTAATTACTTGACCTTCCTACTTGAGTGTCACTGCTTAAAAAGCAGTTTGCTGACCTTGGGTTTTTTCCTGCAGATTTTTGAAAGATGTAGTAGAAGGCATCAGCATCTCTCTGTATGGCTGAGAAACTGATACAAAGCTGAATGAGAAGAGTGGTTATTGCCCTTCTAAAGTGAGTGTCATGCCAATAATTGCCTGCATTTTTTTGTTAGATTTTGTGAACAAAGCAAGAGTTAAATGTCAGACTTTCACTTCTACTGCCAGCAACATTCTAGGAAACATCTGTAATTTGGAAAGCAGCAAGTTGTGCTGCAGTGCACAATGTCCTTTAAATGTACACACACGTTTGTTTTGAAACTCAGACTTGGCATTCATCAGAAAAGCTCACACCCCTCTCAGTTTGAGGGGCATCTTTAGCAGAATGTTACCAGTCTGAAGTTTTTCCTCCTTGCAGAAGGGAGAGTGTACTGACAGGAAGATCAGTATGGTCTGAAGAGCAGTTTCCATGGGCTGTCTGTTTTGCGGCTGTGTGAGTTGCAGAACTTGTTTCATTGCCCCTTCGCAGCATTTTTTCACAGGTAGCACACAAGTGTTATGAATTTTAAATAAAAAGGTGAGTTTTTAGAAAAATAAAGGTGTGAGGTAAGTGTTATGCTGCTGTGTCTTTACAGAGGTGGAGATCATTAAGATTTCAAACACAAAATTTGAGTTTGAAGACCTGTTTTTGGAGAGGAAGAAACATTTTGCAGTTGTCCATGGTTTCTTAAATGAGAGGGCAAGGTTTCTCAGGGACAGAATTTATTCTGACATCACTAACCTATGGGTCTGTAAACACAGCGTTGTACCTGAAAATTGTTTGCCAAAGCTATGTAAGGACGCAAAGCAAATCCAGTTGTATGAAAGTGAGATTGCTGCATTGCACTATCCCTTAACTACCGCGAACTGAGACTCTGCATTTGAGGTTCTCAGCGCTGTAGGTGTGTTAGATGTTTCCCTGCCACCTAGTGTTGCAACTGAGGATTAGAGGACTGCTTCACTGAGCTGAGCTAAGCTGCAGAGGGGCATTTAGAGATGCCTGTCAACAGTGACGACTGGGGGAAAAAGGAAAGTTGTGAGAGTAGGCAGCACTGGGCTGGTCTGTTTTGGTTTTCTTACAGCATCTGATATTTTGTGGGTGATATTCTAAGTGACAGGGAATTGCAACTATGTATTTTGTTTTCAGTAACCTTAGGTCTTTTTCCTCAGTAATGCCATCTGCTTTTCTTGAAACCAATAAAATTTCTGCTTCTGTGGCTGTGAGTTTCAGTAAAATAGTGTAGGGAAATATTTCCCTTCTGTTTTAGGCTCATTGCCTGCCCTTATTCTATTATTGTGAAGAAATAATGAACAGTCATTACCTATTCAGCTATTCTTACTGGTTTTGCATATTGATATTTTTTTTCTCACCACTTACAAAAAATCAAGCTTTCCTGACTTCAGCTTGCCCAAGGCTGGTTGCATGTTCTGTGCTGACTTGATTTCCCCTGCAGTCACCAGAGCACTGGGCACCTGGGGCAGCTCATTGCACATGTGTTGTTTATCTTGCATTGAGAAAGATGCCTTATCAAAGTCTTTCTCTGTTGACTATGTGGGGAGCCTAGACAATTATTATAGCCTAGGCCAGGGAGGATAATAGGATATGAAGCTGATCTTTTATCCAGTCTTGCCTAGATGGGACTGTCAGGTAGCAAACCAACCAAAGGGTGAATACTCTGTGTGTGTGTGTGTGTGTGTGTGTGTGAGTGCATTGCTGGGAAGAACAGAACTGAAGCTTTTATTTGGTCTGAGAGGGTTTTAGATCATTGTTTGCAGTGTTAGCATGTTCTCAAAATATGTGGCTGGGGAATGAAAGCATAAAAGCATGGAATTAAATTTGCCCTTGTTACTGACCTAATACATTAAAAGTTAAGATTAAATAATGGGGTGCCAATATGTGACTCCAGTGAGGGACAATTGTTTCTTTTGTATTAAATAGGATTTTATAGTCAGTGACTGCTGTGACATGTACATAGACATAATGTTCTGCTTGGATTTTTAAAGCATTTCATAAAAATAACTTTCAGTGAACATATAGTTGCTTGTTAATGCCAGCAGTGTTAAAGCTGCAAGACCAAGATGGCCTTATTTGGTGTTGTGTATAGTTTTATGCCAAATGAGAGTATGGTTTTTGTTAGTAATTTTCTTGAGAGCTGTGTTAAATTCTGAAATTGAACTGAAAAATATTTTTTTAAAAGTGCAGAATCAGCAGCAGATTTGAGAAGTCACTTCAATTTGATTATCATTTGCTCCCATTAAAAGTCCTCCTGTGAAGATGAAAGGCTTTCTTAGGTAGAAAGAGCACTGCCTGTTTTAACCTTGATTCCATTTGCTTGTTAATCCACAGAGCAAACTGCTGCAGTGCCAGCAGGAGCCAGCCAACAACCTGCAGGATGCCAGAGGCAGGCAGCTGCCTGTCCCCCATACTGGGGAGGAATGTTGGAACTTCAGTGGCACTCAGGGACATTTTGGCTGGCCTGTGTGTGAAGTGTGAGGTGTATTTCCCCTGAAGAAACAAACTCTCACTGCATCTCTGTAAAACATGGCACTTGAAAAAGTGGAGAGGGTTCAAAATGGAGCACTTTCCTTCTGCATCTTACAGCCTTCTTCAAACATTTCTTTTTGGTTTGTGGTTATTTGGGAAAGTATATAGTGATGTTTTTTAGAACTGCAGCCTGTCATTCACAGCCAGTATCTAACAATTACAGTGGGAGTTGCTGCCTTCTGTAGGTACAGAAGCAGCCTTCAGAGCACATTTGATTTGAAAATTCTTGATATGCAATGCAATGACACAAGAAAGCTTTTGGCAAAGATTCAAGAATGATGCTTTAGTCTGAAACATTTTTTAAAGTTTTCTTTTTTGAGATAAACTGACAAGGCAAACAGAAGGAATTACTTTATTTGGTCTTGAATCTTTCCAGAAACTTATGTCATTGAATTACAGAATCATTTATGTTGGGAAAGACCCTTAAGATCATCCAATCCAACTGTTAACCCAGCACAGCCAAGTCCACCTCTCAGTCATGTCCAAGTGCCACATCTACGTGTCTTTTGAATACCTGCAGGTGTTTCAGTGGTTCCTCCATCACATTCCTTGGCAACCTTTCCCAATGCTTGACTACTCTTCACATGAAGAAATTTTCCTAACAATGAAACCTCCCCTGGTACAACTTGAGGATGTTTCCTTTTGTCCTGTGCCTTGTTACTTCAGAGAAAAGTCCTACCCTCACCTTGCTACAACCTCTTATCAGGCAGCTGTAGAGAGTGAAAATGTTTTCCCCCTCATCCTCCTTTTCTCTGAGCTAAACACTCCCAGCTCCCTCAGCTACTCCTCATCAGACTTGTGCTCCAAACCCCTGAGCAGCTTCATTCCCTTCTCTGGATGCACTCCAGCACTAGTGAGAGCCCAAAACTGAACACAGGATTTGAGCTGCAGCCCCACCAGTGCCCAGTACAGGGCAATCACTGCCCTGGTCCTGCTGGCCACACTATTGCTGACACAAGCCAGGCTGCCATTGGCCTATTTGGCCACCTGGGCTCACTGCTGGCTCATGTTCAGCTGCTGTTGACCATCACCCCCAGGTCCTTTTCTGCTTTCCAGGCATTCTGCCCCAGCCTGTAGCACTGCCTGGAGTAGATGTGACCCAGTATCTGGGGGTTGAACCTTGTTTGTTTGGACTCAGCCCATCAATCCAGCCTGTCCAGATCCCTCTGTAGAGCACATCCTTGTGCTGCCAGGGACATCCCAAGTATAGAGTGTCTTTTGGTATTTTGGTGAGTATGGTATGTTACAGAGTCATAAAATTGTAGTGTTAAGTACATATTGAACAAATTGCTGCCATAATGTCTTCTTCATGATCTTGAATGAAAGTGATACATAGTTGGTTTCCTGAGTACTGAGTACTGAGGTCTAAAAAAATAAGTTGTACAGGTTGTCCCTTGTCATATGACCTTTGTCATATGTGCTTCCCACATCCCATCATTTATGCTGTTAGATACAAGATGTTCTATCCTTTGATCCAGAAATCCTAGTTTCAGGTGCAGGTGAGAACCAGCAGGATTGGGAAAGCTCACTGCAATGGGGCATTCTGGGAAAAGACACAAAGCTAGGGAAAATGTCAGAGAGAGTGGAATTATGCAGTGTGATGTGAGAAATGCAAAAGATTTTGTTTCCTAGATCCTCTGGCATCTGATTACTTGGAAGAAAGAGCACTGGCAGCCACTGCAAGTAATAAGGCTAGTTCCTGATTTGACTTTGATCAGAAACCACTGCTTTGGACAGTTCCTATATGGAGTTGAAGACAAAATTTAAATTCACACTTGTTTGTTAGAGATTTCAGAATAGGTATGTTGAGTTTGCTTCTTGAAAATACATTGGCCTCATCACACACTTGTTTGTTAGAGATTTCAGAATAGGTATGTTGAGTTTGCTTCTTGAAAATACATTGGCCTCATCACAGAGTTTTTGCAAAAACCCCCCAAACACAGCCCAAAACACACTATCCCAAACCTCTTAATTTGTCTCCACTGCTGAATTGTTTTTGATAACAGGAAATAAATCAAAACTGCTTATATTTGTATAATCCTGAATAATTTTAGCTTCTCTTGAAAGTTAATCGTAATGCTTACATTCTGTGTCCTAGTTTTCTCCTGGTTCATAGGAAAAACAACTCTCTGACAAAATAAGGATCTTTCTTTAGCTATATTGCTTCTGTTTTCATGCCTTTGCTTGATTATGTCAACAGTTTCACACAAGAAATATAATTGACAATC